AAATAAATATATTAGAGATATTTTTGAAATTTTAACACTTTAAAAAAGCTCAAAAAGAAATATAGGAAAAGTTTAAATTTTAAATTCTTTAGGCCCTTTTAAAATGCGACAAAATAATAATAAGAATTTTCAAAACCACTTATGACTTTAAATAAGCTCTTTTAGCTGGTCCAATTAAACAAACTGTTAAGATCCAAAATCCCGACAAAAAGGTTTTTACTTGTTTTGATAACAAAGAAAGCTTAAATATAATTAAGTCACACATCATGAAGGTTAATATTTATTTATTTTTTTCCTGATTTTAAATATTCATTTCTCTTTATTTTATTTTATTTTATACTTCTCAAAGTTCCCATTACAATTTTATATGAATTTTTTGACCAAGTAAAAAGTTGGTAAATAATTGAAATTATTCATGGTCAAGAATGTATGATTATTTGACAATCTTGATACATTTGTTGGTAGGTGACTTTCACTATCTTTCTGGTCTTCCTGAGTTGGTGAACTTGAAACTTCGAAATTGACATTCACTATACAATTAATATATAGTCTTCTTTTATTTTACTTTTAAAAATATGTTTCTCAAAGATCATTGGGCAGTTCGATGAAGACTGTAGTTCGAAATTGACATCCATTATACAAGTAATGTATAGTCTTCTTTTATTTTACTTTTAAAAATATGTTTCTCAAAGATTATGGGGTTGAATGAAGACTGTAGTTTCAAACTTGATTAATAGAGCGAGATTAGGGTCTTTTTAATTATATGAACAAGAATATTTAATTTTCATACTAAAATTATTGCTTACTATTTAGATCTACCATCGTGAATTCATAATATTATTTTTAATCCGACATTTTTATTAAACTGAATTCATTGATCGATTTCTTCCGAACATAACCATCGAATTAAATGTTGAAGATTGAATTTATTAAAATAAAAGAAAATTCATAACTAACACTAAGCTTCACCTACTTCAGTCACGTTCCACCTAATTATTTCACGTTGTGTTTGATCAATTAATTGAATCATTATATTCAATCAAAATCAAAGTCAACTCTAAATTAAAGTCTCGCCAAATGACTTTCTTGACCAAGCTCCAACGTGCACTCATTGTGACTTTGTCCGCTTGGAATAAAATAAATCTCTTGAAATTATCCATTTGTACTCGTTCTCTTTTTTACCACAAAAAAAAAAAAAAAAAAATAAAAAAAAAAAAAACGAAATGATTGATTGAGTCTTCTTTGAACTCTTCCATGGACTTTCTGGGAATTTTTGTGACAAGAAATAGGGAGGAAGCATCCAAGTTATAACTTTGCTTCACAAAGCAAGTAGGCCATTGATTTTGTGTATGGTTGGTGGGATATAATATAAAGTTTTGGAGATTAAAAATGAGTTAAATAACACTTCACCCTCTAAGTTTCGATGACATAACAAAAAGGTTTGTGATCTCGACCCCTGTAGTTTGATCAACTAATATAATTTATCTTAAGATTTTAAAAATAATGTAAATCCCCTTTAGTGTATTGTTAAAATTTATTATATGGTGTTATTTAAAAAAAAAAAAAACTTAATAGTAATGAGATTTATGTCATTACTACAATAATAGGGAGATTTTTGTTAAATAATGATACTAAATGGGTACTATTGTTATTAACACAAACAAATTTATTTAATAATAAAAAATTCGTCATTTGTTAATGAACAATTAATGAGCAGTTAGAACAGTTAGAACTTACACTATTATAAATTAATAAATATTTACCAAATTATATTTCTATTGTTTATTACTTTATTTTAAACATTTAAAACTTAATTGTAAGATATTTTTATTATCTTAAAAACTTCAACAACATTTTTGTTATCATATCAAACTTCAGGGGAAAATATTATTAACTCTTTAAAAAACAAATCAAATGTTTTAATATGAGAAAAAAAAAAAACTTAATATTTTAATTATGTGTTTGTTTTAAGGGCAATACGACGCTGATAAACGCATCTCGTAAACCTAACATGTCAGTTGATAATTGGTTTTTAAAGAATTTTCTCATCTGATGAATTCATCATAAAATAATTATCAGCTAGAATATTGTGTGTTTGCGAGATAGTTCGTAAAATTCGTTTGTCAACCTATCTTTATTATTATTTTAATCCGAATATATAAAAAGATAGAAGTTAAAGCGAGACATTATTGATTTACTGAATGTGTCATATAAACTCACACATGTCACCATCATCATTGTGAAGAAATATGAACTCTAAATAGTCTTTTTATGTTATCCACAATCTAAGAATATCAATAAAATATCAGCGCGGTATGTCGTCATTTTTGTTGTAATGTCATGATCTTAAAAGAATATAAAAAAATATTACGCCTTTCATTTAATTATAAAAAAATAAAAAATATAAATATAAACCATTTAAAAGTTTTTATAAATTACAATTATAACATTTTATAAATCCATTTATGAAAGAGTATCAATAGAATAAACAAAAGCAAGAAGCCAAGAAGTAGAAGCAAGCTAGACGAACGTGGTCCCAACTGGGTGCACCAACCGGCCTAACCAGAGGTTCGAAAGCAAGCCTTTCGAGCCCACCGACAGTGGGTTTGGCTGCATCTGGTGAACCCACCAATTAAAAATTTGTGGTGCATGTTTGTTTAGTACATAACAAAAACATATCATAATAGTGTGATACATGACGCTTCTTTTGATTTTGGAGAAAAAGTTGGAAACCAATTATATAAATAATGGTTGGTATGTGGCACTTTCAACTCTAAAGTTTCCGATATAAACTCCTTATTTTGTTACAGTCAACCAATGAATTAAGGAAAATTATTTTACCTAGAATTTTAGTGTCAAGATTGTCAGCTTACTATTAGTTTGACATAGAAACTCTTTATACATACCTTATTTATATATGATTGGATCCTGATGAAAAGATTGATCATAATGGGATCATGAATAAGGGCAGGAAAAGGATAATGTTGTCTCGTGTAACATAGAAAACCACTACTTTATATATCTAGTATCTATTGTACCTCAAATTTAAATGTTCGAGTGCCTATATATTACTTCGTAGGTTAGTTTGGGACATAAACTCTTTATACATACCTTACATTTCAAGTTAAATGTCAATGGCAAGAAGATGACACCTCCAATTTGAAGAGACTGGTTAATGGCCCAATGCTAATCTCATTAATGGTGGTTGTTCTTTGGGGATATTATTGTAAAAGAGAAAACAACTCTCACCTAAACCTTGATAAAATACAACCTAACTACCCCATTATATTACCAATTTTCCTACTCTAAAATGGAGTTGTGGACCAAAGCTCTATAAATTCACTAATTAACTAATCTCTTGAGGTCTGGTCAAATACTATTCACCCATTGAGTTTTGGAAATTAACATCGACACCCTTTACCATAAGCTAGTGTCTAAAATGATTTATAGTTGATCATCTTTGACCAAGTAAACTGTTGACACTTCTTATTTATAGAATTATTGTAACTAGTTTAACTTAGTAACTAGAAACTTTATTACCTATATATATATATATGTAAAATTTGCTTCACTAGCATAACATGCCTTAGGAAGAAGCATCATTAACTATGACATGAGCCTTTACCCACTTTTTTTTTTTTTTTTTTGATAAACGAGGATGTTCGAACCAATTCATGTGTACCTCAATTAATCCCTTAAGATATTAGAACTATTAGTCGGATAAAAGTTCCAGTGGCTATCTCTATTAGCACCTGATGAGGGACTTTAACTTAACACATCTTAAATAATACACTCAAGAGTCCATATTAAACCACTCGACCACTTAGAAGTTGTTGTCTTTACCCACTATTGCTAATGGGCAGTTGTATGAGTTTTCCTTTTTTATTTTTTATCGGTTGATTAAAAAGAAGAAGCATTATATTTTAAGTTTAATATATTGATCAGTTAACAACTTGGAGTTAACATTGGGGATGGTTGTGGTAGTTTTCAAACCCCATGGGGGGAATTAATCTTTTGGCCAAACCTAAGGGTGGCAATTTAATTAACCCATTTGTCCAAACTTTGATAGCATTAATTTTCTTCATGTGATATATTAATAAACATTATATCTCGCCTAGATATTTTCAAAAAAAAGAAAAAAAAAAAATGGTGAGTGTTAGGTGCTAAATAATTCAGGGGAGTTAGGAATTGAAACATAACATTTATTGACCTCTAATTTAATCCTTTCGCTAAAAGGGAAATCACACGAACAATTTGAGCCAAGGGAACACGAGTATAACATGTGTACGAAAAACTAGAGAAAGCAAGATACTCCTTCTAACACATGTTTGGTGACAACCCATTTCTAAACTAAAAAAAATCAAAACACAATTTTCTCGTTAAAAAAAAAAATGATGTCTAATCGAAAATGTGTGTCACATTATCTACTAAAATAATTATATATTTATAATGCATACGTGCGGATTAAGGATAAACATCTAAACACTAGTGCACAAAATTCAAAACCAAAGTTAATGTCTTTTCGTTCACCTTTGATTGGCACATAAAAAATTTCAGGACATTCGACCATAGAATTTTAATACATATATATTAACTACAAAACTTGATTCAATATTTTAAAAATTGTGTAAAATATTGCAGTAAAAATATTTATGAGAAACAAAAAGGAAAAATTCATTGCCACTAATATACAAATTGATGACATTTCACTATGTAATTATGTAACACCAAACTATGAATCGTCTTTAAACTTACCCAATTTGTTAAATACGTTTTGATTATAAGATTATATAATACGTTTTGTGTATCTAAAACTTAGAGTCCTAAAAAATATAAGCTCAAATTAGAGTTTGGTTAAGACATCTCAACCGCAAAACCAACCCAATTTTTAGACTTGGGCCGGGCCGGGCCGGGCCCAGTTTCTCAGAGCTTCGTTGCAATATCCATGGCAGCGAACCAGTAGACGGCCGTTAAAATTCGCGCCAGGATTTGAAAGAGAAGAAGATATGCGTCACTTAACTCACCATCTAAAACAACGTTGTAACGTGGTTACATTCAAATCCTTCAGCTTTTCCAACTTAGCAGAGCAAAACACCCCATCTCTTCAATACCGTAGAAAAGGGCGCGTTTTAGCCCACCTCTTACAACTCCCCGTAACAGAGAATTCTATCCGTGGTTTGTGCTGTGAACAAGTTCACGCTCAAGTTATCGTTAATGGGTTGCAGTCTGATACGTTTCTTGGGAACCTTATGTTGCATAAGTATTCGAAACGGAAAAATTTGGGTTATGCTTGTAATTTGTTTGATAAAATGGGTGAGAGGAATTTAATTTCTTGGTCTTCAATGGTTTCTATGTATACGCAATCAGGGTATCATGAACAATCTTTGGTGCTATTTATTGGGTTCTTGAAGAGTGGTGATGGACGGCCGAACGAGTATATTTTGGCGAGTGTTGTACGCGCGTGCACGCAGTTGAGTGGGGGCAGTTGGGGCTGTGATTTGGGTGAGCAAATTCATGGTTTTGTTGTTAAGAGTGGTTTTGATCAAGATGTTTATGTGGGCACTTCGTTGGTTGATTTTTATGCGAAGAGTGGGAGTATAGATAATGCGAAAATGGTTTTTGATTGTTTAGTGGTGAAAAGTGATGTTACTTGGACTACAATAATTAGTGGGTATGTGAAAAGTGGGAGGAGTGATGTGTCATTGAAGTTGTTTAGTGAAATGAGAGAGACTGATGTTGTTCCTGATAGATATGTGCTGTCAAGTGTGTTGAGTGCTTGCTCGATGCTTGAGTTTGTTGAGGGTGGGAAGCAGATTCATGCTCATGTGTTGAGGAGAGGAACAGAAATGGATGTTTCAGTGGTTAATGTGCTGATAGATTTTTACACGAAGTGTGGGAGGGTGAAAATTGCTAGGAGGCTTTTTGATGAGATGGTAGTTAAGAATGTTATTACATGGACCACAATGGTTGCCGGCTACATGCAGAATGCATTTGATAGGGAAGCCATGAAACTGTTTTCAGAAATGACAAGATCGGGCTGGAAGCCTGATAACTTTGCTTGCACAAGTGTTCTCACGTCATGCGGTTCACTTGTTGCTTTAGAGCAGGGAAGACAAGTGCATGCTTACTCCATCAAGGCCAATCTCGAGTTTGACAATTTTGTTAAAAATGGTTTGATTGATATGTATGCAAAATGTGATTCCTTGGCTGATGCTAGAGGAGTTTTCAATATAATGGATGATCACAATGTGGTGTCTTATAATGCAATGATTGAAGGATACTCAAAACAAGAGAAGCTGTCTGAAGCATTGGATCTTTTCCATGAGATGAGGCTTAATGTCGTCCCCCCTAGCCTTTTGACATTTGTTAGTATCCTTGGTCTATCAGCTGCATTGTGTACCTTGGAATTGAGCAGGCAAATTCATGTTCTCATCATCAAGTATGGAGTTTCTTTAGACTTATTTGCTGGAAGTGCTCTGATAGATGTTTATTCCAAGTGTTCTTGTGTTAAAGATGCAAGAATGATATTTGAGGAGATGAATGAGAAAGATATTGTTGTGTGGAATGCTATGCTTTTTGGTTACACCCAACAGTCAGAAAATGAAGAGGCTCTCAAACTCTACTTAGAACTACAATTGTCGAGACAAAGACCTAATGAATTTACTTTTGCTGCTCTAATAACAGCAGCTAGTAACCTAGCAAGTCTCCAACATGGTCAACAGTTCCATAGCCACCTGATTAAGCTTGGTCTGGACTTTGATCCGTTTGTCACAAATGCACTTATAGATATGTATGCTAAGTGTGGGAGCTTTGCAGAGGCTCATAAAACTTTTAGTTCCACAATTTGGAAAGATGTCGCTTGTTGGAATTCCATGATCTCAACATATGCACATCACGGAGAAGCCAAAGAATCTCTTTTGTTGTTTGAAGAAATGATAAAGGAAGGACTAAAACCCAACTATGTCACATTTGTGGGTGTGCTCTCAGCATGTAGCCATGCTGGACTTGTCGACGAAGGACTCCATCACTTCGAATCAATGGCTGGATTTGGAATTGAACCAGGGACAGAACATTATGCTTGTGTAGTTTCTTTATTGGGCCGTGCTGGTAAACTACACGAGGCTATGGAATTTATTGAGAAAATGCCCATAGAACCAGCAGCAGTTGTATGGAGAAGTTTGCTCAGTGCTTGTAGAACTTCTGGTAATGTTGAACTGGGGAAATATGCTGCAGAGATGGCAATATCCATTGATCCAACGGATAGTGGCTCATATACTTTACTATCAAATATTTTCGCATGTAAAGGTATGTGGGCAGATGTCAAGAGCGTGAGAGAGAGAATGGACTCTGATGGGGTAATGAAAGAACCTGGTCGTAGTTGGATAGAATTGAACAATGAGGTCCATGCATTTATTGCCAGAGACAAAACTCATTGCGAGGCTGATCTTACATATTCAGTTTTGGACAATTTGATTTCGCAAATTAAGGGAATTGGCTATGTGCCTGATACTACTATTCTTCTATTGAATGACTAAGGAAGCATAGCATAAGGAAACCAAAATTAGCTTGATTTATTGACTGATAAATATGCAATTGGAACAGCTTACTACTCGATGTAGAATGCGGAAATGTTCGCTGGTGCATTAACTTGGTTTTACTGCAAAGCAAGTTACAATGGAAGCTGAAATGCCAAGGTAATGCATTAGCTTAGACAGTTTGAATACGTAGCAACTGAGACTTTGTCATGAGATGCATAATCTTTGGACATCAGTCATTGAACTGGAAACATCATGGAAAATAGATGTACAGAATTTTCGAAAGACTTAATGCATCTCTTGGTTCTTGGATAGTACAAGAAGAAAATCAAATTTCAAGTTGGTGAAAACATAAGGCAAAGGAAGAATATTTGGAATATTTGGTAACCGCAGACCTTGTAGATTATTTATTCCTTTTCTTAAACCTAAAAATCTTAATAAAAGAGAAGTATAAGCGAGATAGGCAGTAACTAGTACTGTCCTGCATCTCCGAATACATTTTAATTTCAATTGGAACGATCATCTCTTTTGAGCACAAGTTGAACTCTGATCTGATACCTTCAATTTGTTTATTCACCTCTCTTCTGAAGATTGATTGAGCAAGCCTCAGATTGAGCAAGCTGAACTTCAGGAATTGATCAAATTCCTTCACCTAAGAACCAGGTTAGTCTGTACGATTCGATATGAAAGCGTCTTATCTTCCTATGGAACTATTTCCTTAAAATGTTCACATTTCTGTAAATATGTTGCTTCATAGTTTGATAAATATGCCGATCATGATATACATGTTTTCATGACCAAGTGATCCAAGCTTCTGTAGCATGTAAACAATATGCTTTCTTTTCATCAATACTATTTTTCAATGTTTCCGTGTTCATTAGACTAACACACGTAGTGCTGGGTTGTTGATTACTCTGGTTTTTATGATTTTGAACTATTAGTTCTTATTAAGTAGCACTTATTAGCTCACATAGATTTTTGCAGGTTAATGACAGAGTTCTTTCTCAATAACTAAACAAACAGAAGCCGAAATTGAATTAATTTCTACACTTGCAGTGGTCTGTGCTATGCCCCTACATACAACAGCCAAAGCAAGAGAGGAAAGCATGATTCGCGGTGGAGGAGCTGGCATCAAAGACGGCCTTACGGCTACAGTTGCATCAGGGTGCTAGTAAAAAGCAACCTTCAACACTTCATGGCCAAGCAATTGCTTGAGGAGATTCTTAAGTTGGTGGTCCAACCACGTGAGTTGGGCTAAGTTGTGCTCATATAAACTTACAGCCTGCAACTTCGCTGAGTCACACCATGGAATTGAGAGCTCCAAGTGGATCATTTTTGGTTAGTAGAACTAAGGATTCGAGATGAACTGAAAACTGGGTTAATGTGTCCAACTGCGTGCTAACCCACAAGGGTTATTTGGTCGATTAAGACAGCGAGAAGGTAATCAGGATGTCTAAATCAGCTAAGATTATTTGGTCGATTAAGACAGAAACACGGTAGTCATGAAGTCGAAATCAGCTGAGTGTAAACAATTCACTCACTGAATCAACTAACCTTGGAAATGGATGGCGCTAAAGTGTGCCGCCTACACCAGGCCGTCAAGGGCAAGTGTCAGGCTGATAAGGTTTATAATCATAGGTTTAGTATTTAATCTTGTTAGTAAAACGCTTATTTCACTCATGTTTTCAATTTTTGTTTCACTATGTAAATTTGTCCTAATCCACTTTTATAATTTGGTGAATGATAAATCTAGTTAAAGATAATAAATCAGTGAAAGATTTGTGCAAAAACTTTTAGTTTAAAAGATCTTACCCTAATACAATAAAGCCTATAAAACCGATACTCTATACAGTCATACAAAATTTTATTCTTAATTTGAAATAGTTATAAATAAGAATAAACTTTACATTATAATAAGTTATTATGGATCCATTTGGTTCATTATTCTGATACTTTTTAGAATAATATTTAGAAAAAAAAATAAAATTGAGTTACGTTTACGAGAAATATAATTATTAATGTTTTGTGAGATGAATAAAGTAGAATATGATTTTGAGAATATTAAAATAAATACATTTTTTAGTTTTAACTTTATTGGGAAAACCAAAATCATATTTGGAAGAGTGTACCAAATGAAGGCTAATTTTTCTAATTCTCATCTTAAAGAAAGTTACCTCTACATAGTAAAATTATATGTATATTGTAAAAAAATATATACTATATTACATTAAGGTTTAAGATGAAATAAAATATTATCTAAAGTTATTTGAGACAATAAGTTATGCTTTAGAGTTGTTACCACATCTTTTAACTTACAGTTACATTACTCACTAGAATAGACATTTTCTTGTTGAAGCCAAAACATTTCTAGCTTCTCAAGCATGTTTAGAGCTTCTTGATACAAAATTTTTTGTATTTCCGTATTATCATTCTCATAATTATTTCATTTCTCTTCTTGTCTAATTGTAGTAATGATTTTTTTTTTTTTAAAACATACATGACTTGTTGCTCATTTGGATAATTAAAGAAGACATTAATATCCATTTGATTAATATAGTGAAGTTGTCGAATCTGATCACTCAATTCTACAATGACTTTTTGATTCCCCTCATCCACTTCAATTGTAACTTACAATTAATCAACATCGGGGGGTTTTAATTTTGTAATGCTTAAAACAATTGGCAATTGTCTGTGACTTCACATCAATTGACCATGCAACAACTATATTTATAATTCCATCAAAGACAACTTCCAAGACATGATCTTCTATCCGTTTCAAAAGTAGGCAATTGAAACGCTGAATTAAAACTTTAATACTATTAAAACATGAATTAAAATCCTGATATTGTACTACTAGAACATGAATCATGAAATAAGAAATTTTTGTAACTACACCTCTATTAAGTTATAACCTCCTTATAGTAATAAAATTAGTTATTCTTACTATTATGACTATAGAGGGATTTTCTTTTATATATATATATATATATATATATATATATATATATATATATATAACCGTGGTGTTACCATAATTTTTTTCTTAAAAAATACATTATGTTATAATTTTATTAAATAGCTACAGAAACGAAATATATACGTTTTACTTAAATATTTTCCGAATAACAAATCCATGACCGATCCACAGCACAAGCCAAAGTATATATCTATGGGCCCAAATCTAAGCCCCAGCCCACATGGCAATTAAAAAAGCCAAACACCTGAATCTTAATTAAAACCCTTCTCGTCCATCTGTTCTTCTTCTTCTACCTGAGGCTGATCGCTCAAGTTAACACTGCCAATCGTCACAGCATAATCTCAGCCGTCCGCCCACCGTGATCCGATTGCCAGAAGAAACCTTCGCTCACCAAAAATGTCGACTGTGATGCGAAAATCAAAGACATGAAGATAGGTGAATCCTAAACCTTAACTTATTGCAAAAAAATTGGTTTAAAATTTTTTATTTTTTTTAATTTTTTTTATTGATGTTATTATGTTTTTATCTCTTAAAAATTGGTGAAATAATACGCTTTTTCGCTAAAAAAAATCACATTTGTCTCACTCGGTTAATTCTCTTTGTTCCAAGCGTTTTTTTTTTTTTTGGAAAAAAATATAAATTTAAAATATGTAGTGCCGGTGTGCTGGTCTGGTACCGTTACCGTAACGGTATTGTTTAGTGGCCTTACTTTGAAAGTTACAGTATTAGAATGTTTTGGCAGTTACCGAAACAGTTTATTTATGTAAAGACACCGGGATATCCCGGCACCATAGCATTTCCTGTGTATAATTGTTACAATAGGTAATTGTGCCGGAATATGTATTGATAAGAATGTCAAACGTAACGTAAACTTGAAATGTTATTGTTACAGTGTGATGTTTCTGTTGGAGTATGGGTCACACGTAAAAAAGTATTTGGTATTTTTAACTTAATTGGACCGCCCGTGTTGGTGTTTGTGTTTATCGCAGATGGCAAGGACTCAAAAGAACAAGGCTCACAGCTCATCACTTGGGCTTGCTCAAGGTACACACCTTTTGTGTGGCTTGTTGTTTTTTCTTGCCAATTGTTGAATAATGACTTGCTTGCTCGCTTTATTGTTAAGCAATTACGTAGCTCCAATATTTGCATGCATGTGTTCATTTTATGTTTGTTGAGTTAAATTTAAGTACACACCTAAACTTACTAATGTTGGACCCAAACAAGTAAACAAATTACTTGTATTATACCCACTAAAAAAATACACAACACTTTTAAAACCCACTCACATTGAAGAGAAATACAAAACATCAAAGAAAGCTCACAACTCACACTCAAGACCCACACTCAAACTAAGAATACAAAAACTTAATTTTGGAGGATACCTAACCCAAATACAAGAGGGTATTTATAGCCTCATCATGCAATCTACACCACATAATAAAATTAAGAAATAATTCTAACCACACTTATTACCACATTTACACACTTCTCCAAAAATCTTTTTCTATTCCTTCTATAATTTTCTAAAAAATATTTTTCTTCAATTTGTTAGAAGTTCTTTTTTTGGACTAAGATAAAATGGTTTGGGCTTTTATTTTCCTTGGGCTGAAATCAAAATATTGGTTGGGTTTTGAATGGCTGGGGTTGATCTTCAACACTCCCCCTCAACACCAGCTCCACTATTTTCACTGTGCGAGTTGACAACGAAACATTTTGAACTTGCCAATGCTAAGCTTTGTGAACAAGTCCGCAACTTGATCATCACCTTGATTTGCCCCATCTCAATTTCTTCTTGCAGAACCTTTTCTCTGATAAAATGATAGTGCACTTCAACATGCTTAGTTCTTGCATGAAAGACTGGATTCTCTGCCAAACGAATTGCTGACTGATTGTCACAGTATAACGGAACTGCATAATCTACTTGTTGATGTAGATTATTCATTAGTTGTATCAACCATGTATTCTCTTGAGTTGCCATTGCTGCTGCTTAATATTCAGCTTCAGTAGTTGATAATGATACCGTCGGCTGTCTCTTGCTACACTAAGAAATTGTTCCAGAACCAAGCTTAAACACATACCCAGTTGTTGATCTCCTAGTGTCATGATCTCCTGCATAGTCAGCATCGCAGTAACCAACTAACTTGCAATCTTCACCTTTCTTGTACAAAAGACCATAGTCAATTGTACTCTTCACATATCTCAGTATTCGTCGAATTGCTTTCAAATGAGGCTTCTTTGGATTTTGCATGTATCGGCTCATAACATTAACTGCATAAGAAATGTCAGGTCGAGTCAAGGTTAAGTAGATTAGACTGTCTACCAATTTTCGATATATTGTCGCATCTTCCAAATCTTTTCTTCATGTGCACGCATTTTGGCATTTGGTTCCATCGGCGTCGAAATCGGCTTGCATTCAAGTATTTCGAACCTCTTCAACAAATCTTTGGAATATTTCTGCTGACAAAGAAATATTTCCTCTTGTGTGTGATCTACCTCTAGACCAAGGAAGTGCTTGAGCTATCCAAGTTCCTTCATCTGGAAACGAATTGATAAATTCTCCTTCGTCCGAAGAATTTCTGCCTCATCATCACCGGTTATGATTAAATCATCTACGTACACTAGCACGATAGCTAGCTTTCCTTCATTGGCTTTGACAAACAAGCTGGAATCTGTAGGTGTTACTGAAAAACCACTTTGTGTTAGAAATTCAGCAATCTTACCATACCACGCCCTGGGTGCTTGTTTTAACTCGCAAAGTGTTTTCCGTAGCTTACACACATATTTAGGATGATCTTGGCTCTGAAAACCCATTGGTTGGATCATGTAGATCTCCCGATCCAGCTCTCCATAAAGAAAAACATTTTTCACATCCATCTGCCACAAATTCCAATCTTTGTTGGCTGCAAGTGCAAGTAAGACTCGTACAGTTGTAAGTTTCGCCACTAGACTAAACGTTTCATCATAGTCTAGTCCGTATTGTTGAGAGAAACCACGAGCTACCAATCTTGCCTTGTACCTCTCAATTGACCCATCTGGACAACGTTTTATCTTATAAACCCACTTACAAGATATGGGTTTCACATCTCTTGGCTTTGGCACCAGATCCCAAGTCTGATTTTGCTGAATTGCATCAATCATTTTATCAGAGAAATGGTCCTGCAAGAAGAAATTGAGATGAGGCAAATCAAGACAGATGATCAAGTTGCGGACTTGTTCACGAAAGGCTTGAGCATTGGCAAGTTCAAAATGTTTCGTTGTCAACTCGGCATAGTGAAAATAGTGAGAGCTAGTGTTGAGGGGGAGTGTTAAAGATCAACCCCAACCCATTACAGAACCCAACCAATATTTTGATTTTAGCCCAAGGAAAATAAAAGCCCAAACCATTTTATCTTAGTCCAAAACAATAGAAGCTTCTCAACAAATGTGGAAGAAATATATTTTTTAGAAAATTATAGAAGGATATAGAAAAGAGATTTTTAGGAGAAGTGTGTAGAATGTGGTAATAATGTGTGGTTAGAAGTATTTCTTAATTTTATATTTATGTGGTGTAGATTGCATGGTGAGGACTATAAATACCCTCCTTTGCATTTGGGTTAGGTATCCTCCAAAAATTAAGCCTTTGTATTCTTAATTTGAGTGTGGTGTCTTGAGTGTGAGTTGTGAGCTTTCTTTTGATTCCTCCAACTACTTGAAGGTCACCCATCGTGCCGACAGGACTTCAACTATACCGAACAAGCTTGACTAACAAACTTGCAGAGTACCAAACTCCTCACGACTCAAGATAACTTCACCAAGAACGATTCCTGACCGTCCCACTCTTATACCAATTGTTGAGTTAAATTTAGAGTACATAACTCTAAACTTACTAATGTTGGACCCAAACAAGTAAACAAATTACTTTTATTATACCCACAATAAAAAATACTACAACACTTTTCAAAACCACTCACAATTTGAAGAGAAATATAAACACTCACAAGAAAGCTCACAACTCACACTCAAGATACCAGACTCAAACTAAGAATACAAAGACTTAATTTTTGGAGGATACCTAACCCAAATGCAAGGGAGGGTATTTATAGTCCTCACCATGCAATCTACACCATATAAATATAAAATTAAGAAATAATTCTAACCACATATTATTACCACATTCTACACACTTCTCCTAAAAAATCTCTTTTCTATATGCTTCTATAATTTTCTAAAAAATATCTTTCTTCCACATTTGTTGAGAAGCTTCTATTGTTTTGGACTAAGATAAAATGGTTTGGGCTTTTATTTTCCTTGGGCTGAAATCAAAATATTGATTGAGTTCTGTAATGGGCTGAGGTTGATCTTCAACAATGTTATGAGATGGAAGGATATTTTTTTTTGTGGTTGCTTTAGAAGCACTTAAAAACCCTGTATTACCTGATCTAGTTATATATGTAAAGCTTGTTTTATGTTACGAAATAATAATTGGTACTTTCTTTTTGGTGTCTCTAGATGCTTCATATATCTTAGCAAGTCCAAATTGTTTATAGGTTTATGTGGATTACTGTTTGCTTATAGCAAGTCCAAATTGTTTTGGTCTTTTAATCCTTAATATGCTTGTTATGTTGATTATTGGACAAGAAAATATTCTAATTGAAGAGAAGTCTCGAGCTAAATATTGGCAGTAGAGTAATGTATACAGGTGGCTTGAAGTTGAGGGTGGCTCACAAATTTTCAGTGTTTTCTTTTTCTTGTTTTTAAACATATTTTATTTGATTCTGTTTCATACTAGTTATCTCGTGAGTAATTTTGTAGTTTACATCCTGTGTTTTATGGGCTACTAATACTTTTCAATTACGAGTAAGTTGAACTTTTGACTCTTGGACCAGCAATTGTTTAGGTGCTTTGAACAGGAGCCCAAGTTTTGAAATGTTCCAACTTTTCTGATACGTTTTGATATCTATTAGAAATAAGTTCACAGTGCTTTATTCATGTTAGCTTTCTTCACATTTGGCTCTTGGTGTTACAAATTTCTTTGATATTACTGATATGTGATTGTTTATGTGGTGCCCTAGGCTAAACTTGCAAAGTTACGAAGGGAACTCCTTGAGCCTACCACAAAGGGTGGTGGTGGTGCTGGTGAAGGTTTTGATGTCACTAAAAGTGGAGATGCAAGAGTTGGTCTTGTCGGTTTCCCTTCCGTGGGGAAATCTACACTTTTAAACAAATTAACGGGGACATTTTCTGAGGTATGAAACTGTTGTTTGTGATCTTGTAAATGTTTTATCTTTTACTTGTTTCATGAATGCCACCAGCCTGTGTGTTTTGGTTTTATAAATTTATGAAAGTTTGATTGCAATCACTAGTTTAAAAAATTAAATTATCTATTGTTTGTGATCTAAACACAAGCTAAATCAACTTAGTGTGATATGCCTCCTGGAAGTTGAAATTCTGAAAACTACTGTTTAGTGATGCATGTCTACACCTGTAAAGACTTCATTTCTTTTAGTGTGGATTTTTATGTTGTTGAGATATTATTTTTGTAAAGGCTTTGAAGCCTATAGAGTTAAAATTCTGTATTTGTAACATTTTTTCTGCCTTGTAAGAGATTGAGGTGAGTGGAAAGGAGGGAGAAGGTGAATGTTGTTCTTTATTACTGATAAAGTTTGACTGCCAATAAATTTGAAGTATTTTCACTTTTGTTAAATCTGCAACTGTGTTGCATTTGTCCAAGTGACTTGTTCTGCATGTGGTTGGCATCCATATATTCAATAAAGGCTTGGCTGAACAATATGGAAACCTGTGTATTTATTGTCATTCTATGTCTGCTGTATGTGTTGGATTGGGATTCATTTTCAAAATTTGTGCTAAGTTATAATCATGGATTCCTGATGTGATTTATATTTGTTATGATATACAGGTTGCTTCATATGAATTTACTACCTTAACCTGTATCCCAGGTGTGATCACATATAGAGGCGCTAAAATTCAGGTACTATTATTTATACTTTCCTTTTTATTTTGGGCAGTGACATGGCCTTTTATAGTGTTAAATTTAGCTGTGACAGTGAACGTTGAACATTATGTTAGGAAACTATATATTATTTATCTGTCAAAATATGTGAGCACCAACCAGGACAAAACATGTTTTTGGGATATGTCTGTATGAGTGCAAATGAATATTTATTGGTTGACATGTTTTTGTTCCCCTGCTTCCCTCAGGGTTGAAATAATTCTATAATGATATATGTAATGCTTCTTCGTTTATGTTTGGCAGTTGTTGGATCTGCCTGGTATTATTGAGGGTGCTAAGGATGGAAAGGGTAGAGGAAGGCAGGTAAGTCATGAAATTGTTTATTCTACTTTTATTTTTAGGATTTTTGCTAGCCTTGCATGTTTGATTGTTCATTTCAAAGTGCTGTAAAAGGGTAGNCAAACTTATTTCAGGGAAACAACCAAATAAAAGAGAACTTACGAAATCCTTAGAAGTGCGTCAATATGGTTGTACCAACGAGACACATTCACATATTCAGACGACGGTGCCTTTGAAAGAGCTGCATGAACTGTAATATCGTCCTTTGAAGCTTGGTACCTGATAGGAGCAACACAGCAAAATGCTTAAAATTCTTCAGGCGAAAGTAACCATCATTACCATCACTATTCTTGGGAGCACACAGACATATATACGGCAAAATAGAACTCACCCAGTAATATAACTGCGAGTCAGAAGGTACTCATCAAGTTTCTTCAAACCAGAGGCTGAGTTAAGATCACCGAACACGACTGCCATCTCCAGCAACTGAAGTTTTTTCTGGAACTACAATTATAGAAATCAAAACTTAAGCATCCATTTCCTTTACTCGAACCATAAATTTTGAGTAACTAAAACTTATAGCAACCTTAAGCTATCTCCAACAGACACTATCGTTTTTAGTAGCTTTAAGCACTGAAAACTCAGAAAAATTAACCAAAAAAAAAAAACTGTTTAATCAGTAAAATTAATAAAGTGGTACAATAGATCATAAGAGCTCCAGTCTCTTTGATAACAAATAAACATACAGCAACCTTAACCAGAGGATAAATTATTATTCGAACAAATCTTCAATTGAGTAGTGAAAATTTTGATTTTTCATGCAAGTAGAACTAAACCATTGATTAACTGTACTCAAAAGCGCACTATAAGCTCAATCAACCAGCCGGGTTTTGCTTAAAAATGAAATATAGAACATCTAAAATAAAAAAATCTAGGAGCTTGTGAAGGAGTAAATGCCTCGAAAAATTGAGGAAAAAAAAAAAAAAAAATACTATCATTAAAAGAAAATCGAAGTAAAAAAAATTGAACTCACTTATCAATCAATGGATACCAACAACAAAGAAAAGAAAAAAGTAAACTTACTAAGTGTGGAGGCTTGGGGCGGCGGAAACGGAGACAGGAGACGGAGAGGGAAGCAGCCGAGCAGGAGGAGGGAACTACGGAGACAGCCGGGCAGGAGGAGGGTATTAATGAGGCAGGAGAGTTGACGTGAAGAGTCTAGATTCGTCTTGTCGTTTTATGTTGTTGAATTATGTCTCAAAAAGCTAAATATACAAAAATGCTTATAGTAAATTATATTAAATAAACTTTTTTATAGAAATTATATAAATAACCTTTTTTTTTTTTTTTTTTTTTTTTTTGTGTGTGTGTGTGAATTGAAAAATGATTTATTTGTGAAATGTGTGTGTGTGAATTGAAAAATGATTTATTTGTGAAAATCTCTCAAAAAAAGGGAATTTTAGAATATAGTAATTTTATTAAAGGCTTTAGAAATAGCGTATTTTTTAACTAAAATCCCAAAAATGGGTTACTCAATATAATTTTGCATATTTTTATACAATAATTAATAATTAATTTAAAATACACCCACAATTATAAGAAATTATTCATATATTCTTGAAATAAATAAACACCCTCTCATATTATTAAAAACTCAATGAAATTATTAAAAAATTCTTTATAAAAATATTATAAACACCCTCTCATACTATTAAAAACTCTGTGCAATTATTAAAAATTTCTTTATAAAAATATCAATAACCCTATTATGCATAATACTTTTTAAGTTTAAAAGTTATGAGAAAAAATAAAATGTTTTTTTTTTTTTTTATTTCTTCTTTTCACCCACTAATAAGACACAAATGCACGTCCTAGAGATGATAGATTTGTTTAAGATCAATACAAAGATGAATATAAATAACATAAAAAGCAAGACGTAATTATGATATTTATAAGGTCAACATAAGTTTTTAATTTTATTTAAATTTAAATGCAATCCATATATTATTAAATTAATACACTATAAAATATTACTTTCATTGTATTCTTTTAAATTATGTTAAAATAAAATTCCAAAATTAAACCTTCTAGACTTATCCAAGAAAAGAGATGTTGATTTTTTTTTTTTTTTTGATTAAATGAGGTGTTTATGCCACACGACTAATCTTTAAGAAAAGCTATTCCACAATAACTCACGACCATGACTCTCCAAGTAATTCATGAACAAAGAAGATACTGTATTTGTATTTATCGGGGGAATCGAGAATTCCATCTCTTTATAATTGGAATTTCATTCAAAAGAAATCCATCAACTTGAGAATTAGAGCAACAATTAATAATACCAAAGAGTGGCAGAAGAGAGAACCCAATTAAGGAGAAGAGTGGAAGAAAAGAAATTAAACAAAAAATAAATAAAAAATAAAAAAGTGGATTGGTTCAACTCTTCATTTCATTTTCATTACACAAACTTCACAAAACCATCTAAAAAAATGGCATTGCTTTGCTTTCTTTAGGCTTTCACACAACAGTTGAANATCATGGATTCCTGATGTGATTTATATTTGTTATGATATACAGGTTGCTTCATATGAATTTACTACCTTAACCTGTATCCCAGGTGTGATCACATATAGAGGCGCTAAAATTCAGGTACTATTATTTATACTTTCCTTTTTATTTTGGGCAGTGACATGGCCTTTTATAGTGTTAAATTTAGCTGTGACAGTGAACGTTGAACATTATGTTAGGAAACTATATATTATTTATCTGTCAAAATATGTGAGCACCAACCAGGACAAAACATGTTTTTGGGATATGTCTGTATGAGTGCAAATGAATATTTATTGGTTGACATGTTTTTGTTCCCCTGTTTCCCTCAGGGTTGAAATAATTCTATAATGATATATGTAATGCTTCTTCGTTTATGTTTGGCAGTTGTTGGATCTGCCTGGTATTATTGAGGGTGCTAAGGATGGAAAGGGTAGAGGAAGGCAGGTAAGTCATGAAATTGTTTATTCTACTTTTATTTTTAGGATTTTTGCTAGCCTTGCATGTTTGATTGTTCATTTCAAAGTGCTGTAAAAGGGTAGTGAAGGGCCATAATTCCTTTGGAGCCTCACTTTCCAGGGAGTTGAATTTTTATTCATTTTTTAATCTCAACTATTTTGATTGTCAATGTCATTGAATGGAATGATACTTAATCGTTGCTGTTATTACCCTTTAGCGTTAATTATAGGTATGGAAAAGTTTAGATGTACTGTATGAGTGCTAATTATGTTAGTATAAAATGGTTATGGGTTTAATATTGACATTTTTAGTTTGCATAGTTCTGGTTCATAAGCATCTTTATATCCTCTTTCTGACAAATCAGTATGCTGAAAAAGTCTTGTATTTGGAATCCAGGTTATCAGCACTGCTAGGACATGTAATTGTATCTTAATTGTTCTTGATGCAATAAAGCCAATAACTCACAAGCGTCTGATAGAGAAAGAGCTTGAGGGATTTGGTATAAGGTAATATGTGTGCTTTTAAATATCTTTATTCAAAAAGCAAAAGCTTTTTGGTGTGCTCTGAGAAAAAAAACGAATTGTACCTTTTTTTTTTTTAAGTAGCCCTACTCTTTCCTCTGACATCATGCATCCATGAAGGCATTTGGCACTTAGTTTGATGCTAATCTTGTAATTTAAATTTATGAAATCTGTATACATGCTGCTGTTTGAAATTTGGGCCAATTTTTTTGCAGTTGTTCTCCCATCTGAATACTTGCTTATTGTTCATATTGATCTAATTATTTTTTATACTCATAACAGGTTAAACAAGGAACCACCTAATCTGACGTTCAGGAAGAAGGATAAGGGAGGTATTAATTTTACCTCAACTGTTACCAACACACATCTTGACTTAGATACCGTGAAGGCAATATGCAGTGAGTACAGAATTCACAATGCTGATATTACTTTGAGGTATGATGCCACCGCTGATGACCTCATCGATGTCATTGAGGGCAGTAGGATATATATGCCTTGCATCTATGCTGTGAACAAGATTGATCAGATCACCCTTGAAGAACTGGAGATATTGGATAAACTTCCTCACTACTGCCCGGTTAGGTTAGTACTATATTTTATTTTGTTATCTGATAATTGCTTAAACCCTTTATCTGTAAACTCTCCTTCACAATTACATGTTGAAATTCATTAAAGATAAATACTGTAAATTGTGGGTGGAGTAAAAATTCATATGGATAATAATATCTTACTTAAACGTTCTCTAACACTGACCAGCTGAATGAAGCATTACAAATGTAGATTTTACCATTATGTGGTATAATACAATGATGTATAGTTTACCTTTTTATAGTGTTAGTATAATGCTTTCGAGTTCTTTTCGCCTGCTTGTTTAGTCTTTTAACCTTTGATTTGCATGACTTTGTACAGTGCTCATTTGGAATGGAACCTTGATGGCCTGCTGGATAAGATATGGGAATATCTTAATTTGACTCGCATATACACCAAGCCCAAAGGGATGAATCCAGACTATGAAGACCCTGTTATTCTGTCATCAAAGAGGAGGAAGGTTGAGGACTTCTGCAACAGAATCCATAAAGATATGCTTAAACAATTTAAGTAGTGAGTATTATTTCCCATATCTTGTGACTTCAAAAGTTTTGATTTCTTAAAAGATGGGAGCATCAGTAATTGAAAACACCAAGTCCATTCTGGACATATTGTTTAGTTGTTTTCACTCTTCGTACACACAAGGAGTTATCATAGGAGTCAGTCCTGCAGTTTATTTTGTGTTACCGAGGAAATAGTACGTCTAGCTTACAGGGCTTACACAGAAGTCTTTTCTGGACATTTGTTTAGTTGTTTGCTCCCGAACATTTTATGTCTGATGGCAACACGATCATCAAGTGTCATAATCAAATAGAGTTGTATCACTTGTGCCTAGAAATACAAGTCAACAGATGCTGCTGACACTGTATTGGGGAGAAATCTTTGGATGAAGACACTTATAATTCATTTGTCATCATTTACTTTTGGTTGGTTAGGATTTTCTTTTCCGCAAAACGCCACTTCATTTCCTTTTTACTTGATATCCTTGAGATGCTCTAGTGAGGCTGAATGTCGTTTCTTTTTTTAGTTTCTGTTGTCATCTTTCTAGTCTGTATTTCTCTCAAAAGTGAGTACTGACTGTGGAAAAAATTATGCAGTGCTCTGGTATGGGGGTCAAGCGTGAAACACAAGCCCCAGAGAGTTGGCAAGGTTTGATTCTAAAACCTGATATTCGTATACTCAATTCCTTTATTTTTATTAAAGTTGTGTTATTTTTATCCGAGTCCATGTTCATTCAGTTTGCCGATTGAAATCTATATTTGGTGGTTTATTCTTACCAGGAACACGAGCTCGAGGATGAAGATGTTGTTCAAATTATCAAAAAGGTGTGATTGAGGAATATCAAAATCCATCTGTATTCTGCTACAAATTTCTTCGTGAAACCTTTCTGTAAGAGTTCAGATCCTGTGATGAGATTAGGTAGAGAGACCAAGAGAAAAGCTTGATGTGTAAGTAAGCCATTTTGTGGTCAAGCGCTTGCTTGGGTGGTGATTCACCTCGTTGCCTGGTTAGTAGTATTTCTAATGTTGTGTTGTGTATGAGATTTGATGACATAGAAGAATTAAGAGAATTTAGCCCTTGTTCCTCTTTACGCCTTTCGTGAGGCATCCATTCATCTACATTTATAAAATCTGAATATCGCATTGTACAAGTCACTCAGATGACCTATTGGTAAGTTATTGTCATTTCTCACATGTGATAAAACACTCTTAACGACGTTTTTGCATGATATAATTCGGATATGATTTATACAAGTCCATTATTCTTCTTATTTTGATTGAGGATTTGGTTACCGTAGATAGAACTTTATGAATGGATTGGGCATCAGAAACAACAACGATCTATGTGGAGGGTAACATTGATGAGGTACTGTAGATAGAACCTTATGAATTGATAGGGCTTAAGAAATAGAAATGGTCAAAATGGAGAGTAACGTTATTCGTTACCGCAGATAGAAGTACCTTATGGTCATTGTTTTAAAACTCGGATCGAAGGGCAAACCGTTTTGCAGTCCGGGTCACGGTTCAATCGGTCCAACCGGTTGGACCGGTCGGTTGGACCGATGACGTCAGCAATATTTTATTTTTTAAAAATTATATATTAACCCCTTAAATCTCAATATATTACAAAAATTTCCCTAAAAAAGTTTAAATTGATCCCTAAAATTTTTATTTATTCCAAAAATGCCCTAATAAAATTACCAATTAATCCTTAAACTTTTGATATATCTTCAAAATACCCCTATAAAATTATAAGATAACCCTCATAATTTTAAAATATTTCAAAAACCCCCCTGAGACCTAAACCGGACCGGAGAAGCTACCGGTTCCCGGTCCAACTGGTTTGACCGGCCGATCCGGTCTGGTTTTTAAAACAAAGCTTATGGTATGGATGGATTGGGCATAGAAAACAAATTCAGTCAAATTCCTCTTTATGATTGTTGTATAAATGCACAAATATCAAGCAACGTGCAATGGTGGTCATTGCACATGCATTCAGTAAGATTGTGATGAAAATAGAGTGATGTTATGGGTACTAACGGATGGGTACTAATCTGTGTACTAACTAAAGCATAGTACCCGTACTATGCGTATAGTACCCGTACTATGCTTTAGTTAGTACACAGATTAGTATCCATCCGTTAGTACCCAAAGTATTATTCATGAAAATAACTAAGCAATAATCCCACAATGAAAGCACATGTATGCCACCATCATATTATTTTATATCTTCTTTATGTCGCTCTCTACATCCATCCATAACATTTACTGTTTGTACAGTTGTATTCTGTGCTGTTTATACAATTATAGGGAAAAATAACAATCTCGCCCTCAGGTAACCTCGAACCAAAATATTACTAATTACCAAAAATGTTACTTAAACCAAACTTTAGAATAAAATTTTATTATCCAACAATTATTTTAGCCAAAAAATTAAAAAATAAACAAATGAGGAGCTTTTATGAATTGTATATGCAAATAAAGTGATATTTCAATTTTCTCGGAAAGATTGTTCACCCATAAACTATTACGAATAACTTTAACACCATAATCTTACAGTAGGATACAGGCGTGTTCCTGAATTCTTGTCTTACAAAATGTATAGATTGATTTATTATTTCTGAGTTAAAAATGCTTAATGGGTTTAGGTTGAATCTGATTGAACTTAATTTTGAGTACAACTTTCCAAAAAAAAAAAAAAACTCTAATAAAAATTTGCATCTTCTTACAGTAAAACAACAAACAGTCATAAACCTAGCTATTTCAACGAAGAATTTGTATTGCCAAAGACAAATTTGGATCTTCTATGATTTGAGCTCTTAACCAATCTTTCTATTTTGCTCAAGTAAAGCTCGCATCAGGAGAAATTCTTGATTTTAACAGATCAATAGGCTTGCCGGAAAAAAAGAGATTGCGGATTGATTTAAGAGCTCTTATAGATATGCAGTGATGCACTTAACACAGAAAGGAGAGATTCAAGTCAATGTTTTTTTCACACACTCATATTATTGTTTTAACTATGACAAGGAAAACCCACTCTCAGCTACAATGGTCTAAAACTTCCAAAATTACTCAAGATAGACATTCGACTAGTAAGCAAATCCACACAAAACAAACTTCTTTAATAACACAGATACATTAATAGAATATATAATAATCATTTGAGCGATAATGAACACCACAAGTCCTGTCCTTGAAAAACTCTCCACAGTCCTCGCCACGGGGATTCACGTATTCTGTAACAAGTGAAGAGTTAAGTCATCTCAGAGAGTTTGTGTAAATGATTTGAAGAAATTGAAAGCCCAGAGGTGTGTATATAAGTACTCACATATCTTGTTGAAGTCAATGATATCGGCAGCTCTGGTACAATTCATTTATCGGTTCAGACATCAGATGTTCCTCAATGAGATTTGTCGACAGAGACCAAGTCTCGACAATGGTATAGGCATTATCTGCAATTTTCTTTATACCATACCCGACAGGTACAAGTTTCGCTGTGACAGAAAACACAAAATTGTACCACCCAGAAGGCAAATCAACGAAAGAATGAATGAATTCACTGAAAGATGGTTTTGGTCCCAACATTAAGAGGGAGAAGACTAGTTTGAAGTAGAGAAAGAACATACATGCTCCCCAGAGTAGCCCTTCCTTCTGACCACTTCTAACTGCTTCCTCGAGCTGTTTCTATCGGTCTGTCATCAATCATGCGCATGGCTTGGATACTGAGAGGGGGACTATCACAAACTATGCCTTACCAGCTGCGAATAAAAAGTTCAATGCGTGCTTATGGATTTTGTATTTTAATTTAACTAAAGTAATACAAGGAAGATTGTCAAATTTCTGGATAACTAAGACAAATTAATAATTACCAAGATGAGAAGCTTACAGTTCTTCTTTTTCCGCAGGATGCCTTAGACGCAGTCTGCATCGCTCGTTCAGCAGCCTTCTTTTTTTTCATCTCTTGGTGTCCCTCACGCAAACGATCAACTATCATTTCGTCATCCTCTTCCGCAGCTGCTGCCTGTAGAAGACCTGTAACAGTCACAGTCGCTATAACGCGCTGACGCACGTTTCATCAGCAAGCCGGAAAAAAAAAAAACTCCGGAATAATCCTCACACCCTCTTGCTAATATGAACGCCACTGTTTTTAAACGCACAGGCGTTCAAAACCATGCAGAAACTGCTGCGTAAGAAATGAATTGTTTGCATGACTGTCAAAAAATGCACATGCAATACATTGTAGAAGATAGACAGGCAGTGTGGCCATGTATAAAAAAAACAGAACACTACTTGCCTTTGTGTCAACCAATTGGAAGGGGTTGAGCAATCTCCTCTTGCTGTGATAGGAGGCAATCCCTCTACACTGACACCAGACCCTTCTGCGAAACACTCACTGAATGGCAATACTTGTCTAAGTCTGAGTGAATAGAACGGCAGAACAAGCGATCGTTGAAAAAAAAATGAAACAAAGTAGGTATAAGAACTTAAAATCATCATCCATCGTTAAACAGGAACTTCTAAAAACACTGACAAACTAGTTAGTGAAACAACCAAATAAAAGAGACTTATAACGAATCCTTCTAAGTGGCGTCATATGGTTGTAGCGCAACGAGACGACATTCACGATATTCGACACGGTCGCCTTTGAAAGAGCACTGCAATTGAACTGTATATCGTCCTTTGAGGTCTTTTACCTGATAGGATCAACAAGGCAAATGCTTAAAATTCTTCAGGCGAACAGTAGACCATCATTACATCACTATTCTTGGTGAGCCATCACAGACATTATGACGGCTAAAATAGAACATCACCCAGTAATTATAACTCGCGAGTGCCGTAAGTAACTCATCATTCCTTCAACAGAGGCTATTATAGATCAGCCGAACACGACTTCCATCTCCAGGTACAACTGAAGTTTTTCTGGAACTACATTCTGAATCAAACTTAGCATGCGCAATTTCTATTTACTCGAACCATATAATTTTGAGTAACTAAAACTTATAGCAACTTAAGCTATCTCCAACAGACACTATCGTTTAGTAGCTTAAGCACTGAAAACTCTAGAAAAAATTAACCAATATAAAAACTGGTTAATTCAGTAAAATTATAAAGTGTTAGCAATTTAGATCATTAATAGGCTCCAGTCTCTTTGATAACAAATAAACACTCCAGTCAACCTTAACCATAGGATAATTATTAATTCGAACAAATCTTCAATGAGTAGTGAAATATTTGATTGTTTCAGAGCAAGGGTAGAACTAAACCATTAGATTAACTGTACTCAAAAGGCGCACTATAAGCTCAATCACCACCGGTTTTGCTTAAAAAATGAAATGTAGAAGCCTGCTAAAATAAAAATCTAGAGTCTTGTGAAGGATAATGCTTCGAAAATTGAGGTGAAAAAAAAAAAAAAATACTATCATTGAATAGAAATCGCAGTAAAAAAAATTAACCTCACTTATCAATCAATGGTAACGGCAGCAACAAAGAAATAAAAAAGTAAAAAAAACTTACTAAGTGTGGAGGCTTGGGGCGGCGGAAACGGTAGTACAGAGACGGAGAGGAAGGACAGGCCGGAGGGGCATTAGGAGGGTAAGTACTACGGAGACATCGTCGGGCAGGAGGTAGGGTCTTAAGAATGCCAGGGAGAGTGTGACGTGAAGAGTCTAGATTCGTCTTGTCTTGCTCGTTTCTGTTGTTGAATTATGTCTCAAAGCTAATATACAAAAATGCTTTATATTAAATTATTATTAAATAAACTTTCTTTATAGAATTATATAAATACCAACCTGTTTTTTTTTTTTTTTTTTTTTTGTGTGTGTGTGTGAATTGAAAAAAAGGTATTTATTTGTGAAATCACTCTGAAAAAGGGAAGTTTAGAATATAGGTAATTTTATTAAAGGCTTTAGAAATATGGCGTATTTTTTAATAATAAGCCCAAACATGTTACCTCAATATAATTTTGCATATTTTATATAAAAAAAGCAATAATTAATAATTAATTTAAATACACCCTCACATTATAAGAAATTATTCGATATATTCTTGAAATAAATAAACACCCGCTGCACTCATATTATTAAAAACTGCAATGAAATTATCTAAAAATTCTTTGAAAAAAAAATATTATAAACACCTCTCATACTATAAAACTCTGTGCAATTATTCAATTCTTTAGAAAATATCACAACCATACCGCTATTATGTGCCTATACTTTGAAGTTTAAATAA